TGTGTCTCTCCCACCTGTTTCTGTGCTCTATGAGAGGAAAGTTACTATTTTTGCAAAATTTTATTTTCCTACTTGGGTTAATCAGATGTGCTTTCTGTTTTGTTTTAGTTTTGAGAAGTGGGGTCTCGCTACATAGTCCAGACTGGCCTTGAACTCCTTTCCAGGCGGAAGAGGTATTCACAGCCTTCCTTGAGGCTAGGGCTATAAGCATACACGATCACAGGCAGCTTAATCAGCTGTTATTCAGGGGACATGTGCTCTATATTGGATTCAAGACCTTCTGTGTCTGAATCCTGGCACCTTTAGAAAGGCAGGATGATCAGTGTGAAGAACACAGTGGAAAGGAAGTATATGCTCAGGCCAGTTTGTGAGGGCCTGTGGAGTTTAGACTTTGGCCCATTTGATAAGCAGCTGCTGGCTGCTGAGTTTCTTAAGCAAAAACAAAGAAGAGAGGTATGACTAGTTTGTCCTATCCTTTAACACTGTATGTGGCTAAGCAGTTATTTGTAAGATAAAGATCATTATGTAACACAGTTTCTTGAAAAATATGAAGTATGAAGACAAATGGACAGAGAGTGGAGTTTCCCACACTGATCTGAACACTGTTACAATGGTCAAATTTAAAAAATTAAATTACAGTACTGGAGAGATGGCTCAGTGGTTAAGAGCACTGGCTGCTCTTGCAGAAGAATCCAGTTCAAACCCCAGCACCCATATGGCAGTTAACAACAGTCTGTAATTTCAGTTCTAGGGGATTTGACACCCTCTTCTGACCTTCTCAGGCATCGCACAACATGGATGCACTTACATATATGCAGGCAATACATTCATACATATAAATAAAAATAATAAATTTTTTAAAAGGCAAAATGTAACAGACAAATACTTAGTTCATCTGAGGCATACTGAGTTTAGGAACTTCTGAATTATATGGTCTAGTTTAAACTGACAAAAGAATCTAAATAATTTCAGGGAAAACAACTTTCTAAATGCTTTCATTAAAAACGTCATGTGTAGGGCTGG